ATAGCCTATTAAAAAGGGCTGTAAATTCAACTAAGATTTGTACTGTAACACTTTTCACAATTATGAAACACTTAATAGGCTTAATGATACTAATAGTCTTGAGCATATAGACCTGGCCTACTGTTTTGTATACATATAAAGTGCTGCAAATTAAACAAAGCCTGTCTGGAGATACCTTGACTGAAAAAGACTATCTTAAAATTAAATAGCCTTTAAAATGCTGTACATGTAAAACTGGGGAGACCTTTACTTTAAGAGAAATTAAAAAAAAGAAACACGTATACATGTTCAAGTCTGAATAGACTGAACTTGAGCATACTGTGTGACATGCATTTACTGGAGAGCGCTGCAACATCTGTAACAAAGCCTGTCTGGGGACACTTTTACTGTAATAAAGATCACTAAAATGAAGATAATTATTGTGAATCCAAATGAAAAAAATGGGGGAAACATGCAAAACAATCAGGCAGAGGCAGCGCAAAGGGGATTGGCTGCCTGCGTGCAGGCAGACAGAGGATTTGGCGCAGAGCAGAGGAGAACGCACCACACGTAGGCTATGCTCACGGGTCCGCAGGAGGTCCTGTGTATCTCCCGCCAATACCATATTTATTTGTGTAATACTTCCTCCTGTCTTTTATTTTATTCATTATTGTTAAATTCAGTGTTCATGCTTGTGTATTGGTTCAATATAGGACACAACATTTAATTCCCAATTAAAGGTACGATTCGGGACAAGTGGCAACCTGATTATTGGCAACGGTTTGTGACAGCAATGTAAACGTCGCCGCTACAGTCGGATCGGAAGAACAAATCAAGTCAGCCATTACGCTGTAGCACGCTGCCGGGAAGAGCTTCCGGATAAAAGTGTACTAAGAAATTGTTGTCCATGTGTTATTGGGGAAGGTCAAGGTATATTTTGAAGTTGATGAAGTGTTATTGTCATGTCGAGCAAGAGCATTTGTTTCTGTGGTTGGCTTGACTTCCTGTACACTAAATAAGGGGATACCCAAGGCAGAAAAAAAATGCATCAAGCAATTTTGTTTTGGGGTTTTTTGGGGCCAAGGTACTGGAATTACACAGGGACTTGATGCTTATAAAACATTTTTAATTTTGATGAAGACTCATACAATTGGTTTACTAAGGACTAAATGCAGGTTTTCCAAAAACGTATAAGTAGGCTTTTTGAAGCTGCTTTTCTTTGATGCACAGGTGTAGAAAAATGTATAGGACTGTAAATTGTAAGTGTGTGTGTGTGTATGTGTGTTTGTGTGTGTGTGTGTGTGTGTGTGTGTGTGTGTGTGTGTGTGTGTGTGTGTGTGTGTGTGTGCGTGTGTGCGTGTGTGTGAGTCCAGTGATTGACAGGTAATCAGTCCAGCGTGTCCGCCGGGATATGCTCCAGCTGTATACTGTATAGCAAATAAATGGATGGATGGGGATTTTTAATAATAATTTTGCAATTAAATCCAATTAGAGCTTCTTGGCACATAGGTGTCAAGACAGCGAATATCCCAGCATGTATTGCTGCTCACTGTGGACGCCATGGTTGGCGTTATCTGAAGCGGGATTATGAAGGCTTTCAAGCCACCCACAATCGCCCTCCTGGATGGCGAGTGAAGAAGGCCAAAGGAGCGCCAATTGAGTGGACTTCCAGTTTGATTGGCATGCCGTGCTGCTGCTTGCTTCATGTGTTTGTGATGAGGTTAAAAAAAAAAAAAAAGGCCATGGCAGGGAGTGGGCGGATTGTGACCTACCAATGTTCATCTGTGGCTGAGGAAGATGAGGCCATGCATAGGCGAGTTAAAATGCTAATAGCCAGTAAGAAGGATCTAATTCTAATTCAGCGTGAGACCCCCACAGCTTGACTAAAGGGATTTTTTAACGCCAGCGCATCCAGACAAAGCCTGTTAAAAATACCAACCGCCCCTTCCCATGACTTCCATTGCTTTGAGATAACAACAAGGACATAATTATGCTCATCCAAGAGGGAAAAGTGGGCCAGAATCCTGATATATTGCATCCTCATCTTTTACTAGCATCGCTTTCATCCTGAAGTACATACTGACCTTTTTCTTTTTTTTTTTTTTTTTTTTTTTAACTCTGATATAACTATGAAACAGTGATGGGCAACTTTACCACGGGGGGAGCTACAATTTTTCATCAGCCTTACTGGGGTCTCACATAAAACTGCACACTGACCAGATGTATGACAAAAATGGCATTTGAAATAAGGAAATAATATGTACAGTATGTCTTTTTTTTTAAGCCCAATGTACAGAAGAGCATATTAACCCTTTCATGCTTTCTGTAACCTGACAACATGGTAAGATGTCCACTGTAGTAACTGCTGTCCCTGAAAGGGTTAATATATTTTAAGGCTCAAGTATAAGTGATCCACTCCTCAAGTACAAAGGCTTTATCAAAATATACAAATTTAAAATTAGTACTTTTTAAAATGTTATTGTATTTTTCTCATTGAACCAAAAACACCATGGTGTGATTGTCAAAGAAGAAGTAGATTTGCCTGGGCCGCTGTTGCAACATTAATTCAAGACCACCCATTTTCAGAAACGTTTTTATTTATTTATTTATTTATTTTTAACGCAAAATCTCGAAAAAATTTGAAGAAATAAGCACCTGGGATTGAATGTGTGGAGTCTAAAATAAAACCAAAATATGAAATCAAAACTCTGAGATTCTTTTTTTTTTTTGGGGGGGGGGGTCAGTTACAATGCCTGTCCAACTTTTCCCTTCCTAAGATTTCATGATGTGCCTTTTTTTCAACCAATAAATTGCTGTGTTGTGATTACGATTCTTATTGTATACAACAGCAGCATGCTGAAAAATAAGTGAAAAAAAAAACGGATTTCATTCTTTAGTTACATGTTTTTCATCAAATATATCACTGTATAGGACGGCCCGGTGATCCAGTGGTTAGTGCGCCAACCTCACAGTGCAGAGGTGCAGGGTTTGATTCCGGCTCTGGCCTTCCTGTTTGGAGTTTGCATGTTCTCCAGGTACTAGATATGCTTTTTACTTCTTCCTACTCCTTTGAACATATAGTTGTGTTGTATGATGACTGTTTTATTTTCCTTTTTTACTGTTCTACTTAGCTTTACCTTCTGTCAATTTATTACTGTATATGTTTTTATGTTCAATAAACAAACAAACAAATACTCTGGTTTCCTCCCACATTCCAAAAAACATGCGTGGCAGGCTGATTGAACACTCTAAATTGTCCCAAGTTGAGAGTGTGAGCGGATGGTTGTTTGTCTCTGTGTGCCCTGCGATTTGCTGGCAACCGGTTCAGGGTGTCCCCCGCCGACTGCCCAAAGACGGCTGGGATAGGCTCCAGCACCCCCCGCGACCCTTGTGAGGATAAAGCGGATCGGAAAATGGATGGTTGGATATCACTGTCTTATCATATTATGGTTGATGATTTTCAAGCCGCACTGTCTTCACCCGTGTTTGACAGCTTGTTAAAAGCTGCGCTGCAATACGCTAGCTAGGTCGCTCACCACTTAAGAGGAGAGACAACGTGGCTAAAACCCACGTCTGTTTTTATCGGAAGAAGTGGCGGGTCCTTGTCAACACTTGAGGAAATGAGCGGCAAAGCTGAATTAATTCAGAGAAACTGAAGACGGGATTTTATTTATTTATTTATTTATTTATTTATTTTTAACATCAGAGCATGTGTGTGTGTGTGTGTACACGGACTGTGCACTGTTGATGCTCACAGTCTCACATTCGCTCTCCTTTAAGCTCATTTACACGCAACAACATTGCCCAAGTTGTCCTTGGAACACCCCGGTGATTTTTTTTTTCCAAGTGACGCATCTGATGGGCTATTGATATCCACACATTGTGTCGTTACTCACAATTCCGCTCCCCATCTTTTACATAAGTCTTCCTGAAATGTCGTCTCTTTAGCGCGTGACACACATTTGAATAATGGCAGTGAAAACGCATACCGATAACCTCCGGAGCAGTAAATGTGACTCAGCTGAATGTGGGACACTCGCCTATAAATAGCGCACATACACCTATGTTATATGTCATGTATGTATGTGTGTGTGTGTGTGTGTGTGTGTGTGTGTGTGTGTGTATGTTTGTGTGTGTGTGTGTGTGTGTGTGTGTGTGTGTGTGTGTGTGTGCGTGTGTGTGTCTGTGTGTGTGTGTGGTGGGGCGGAAAAGGCGAACAAACAAATTGCATATTCCCGTTTATGTAATACAGAATAACCTTGGGCGCTCATGGTTGTTACTTGAACCAATAATGTGCAGGAAATGGGGCATTTTGAACACAAGGTGATAATAACCACAGTGCAGAACATTTCTGACACTTTCAATGGAAGAGGGGCACATTGTATGGCCATATATTAACTGGAGAATTTAGTTTATGCTATTTTTGTAACACTGAAGAAACCCTTGTTCTAACATAGGCAACGCAGCGTCAAGAGAAGACGATATAGTCTACAAGAGAAATCGGGGATCACTTTCAATTTCATAATCTTCAACATATTTCTATACATTTTCCTCCACTTCTCTGTGAATGAAACATGACTATTAATGAAGATCTATGTAGGCGAACATGAGGTTCCGCTTCAAATGGGAATGGTGTGTCCTTGGCGGAAGGCTGTGCTCTCATGAGTGCCGTCCTGGCCTCGCCTGTAGCTATTCCAGATATATCTGATTATTTTATTGTCCATATTAAACAGTGCTAACAATGTGAGTCGATGCCATCAGTTACAAGGTCGCTGCACGCCATGCCCGGCGCATAAACCCGACCAGACTCTCATCAATACGGCACTGAGCAATAATAACCTCTGTAAACGCTTCCTGACTAAGTCTCACTTAATCCCCGAGCCCCTACTTGTCATTTCCTATTAGCACACCAATAAATCATGTTCATTGCTCTTGAGGGAGGTAGGAAGGTGGAGAAATAACAATCACTGCAGCGCTTGAATGAAATTGGACCATTACGGTACAGGGGGGAAAAATGTTACCTGAGTTCGCCTGTTTCTTGTCGGACGTCTCAATGCCTGCGCCGATCAGGTCCACGATTTTCTCAATCTGTTGGGAAATAAAATGACACCTTATATTTCGTTTTCATCGAAATATCTGCAACTTTCAAGTCATTTTTTTTAAAATGTTGCGGATGAGACAATGCGCAGTCGGCTGTTTCCCTGGTAACCTGGGGCAGATGGCTATTCTGTCCCACCCAGCAGAAACAGGACAGGTGTAGCCAAAGGGAGACGGACAGTGAAGTAAAACAATCTCAAGGAATTACCGGTACTCCAATAATGGTACAAATAATGCACGAGTAATGTCAAATACGACTCATGACTCTGCAAGTCTTATTGCACAAACCAAATGGAGGAAACTTACATTTCAGATCCATTGGAAAGGAAAAGCCTTTGATAAATTTTTACTGCTAGGTTAGCATTCATGCTAATCTCTGATACTGTACGCATACCTGTCAACGACTGACACATTGGAATAAAACCTTGAGTGACGCCTGTGAGGAACAAAAACCTTTGTTACAGTTCTGATAAAACTGCTGCTGAGTTTGGCATCCATTCTAATCTCTTTTGATATGCAAACCATTTGGAAAAGATCAGCGACCAAATTCATTCAAAGATTGCGTGGCTTTTGCGTGATGCTAACAAGTAAAAATGGAGCAAACTGATAGCATCAAATCCACAAAGCACATGCAGATGGCGAAATGTGTCACTAACTGAGATATCAAGCAGAATACGTCTCGATGTGCTGTTGGTATTTGCGCATGTTAAAATGAATATGCATATTTTGGGTGGAGAAATTGCCCGCCTCTATGCAAATCAGTGTCATTGACAGAAAACATCTAATTCACTAACCGCAGCGCTAATAGCCACATGCAGTTTGAGCGATGCAAATAACGGCAAGAAAAAGCTGGTATTAAACTGACGCTACTCAATTGAAGCCTCTTTTGAGCGAGGGAATGCATCGCCAGAGCAATGTGAGGAAACGTGCCGACATATACAAGACATCCATCCAATTCATTCCATTCCATTCACACCTCCTCAGTTAGTACCCCAAGATCGAATTCTAATACGTAATCCATCCATCCATTTTCCGATCCACTTTATCCTCAAAAGGGTCGCGGGGGGTGCTGGAGCCTATCCCAGCCCTCTTCGGGCAGTAGGCGGGGGACACCGGTTGTCAGCCAATCGCAGGGCACACAGAGACGAACAACCATCCACGCTTACACTCAGGCAAACTCTGCACAGGGAGGCCGGAGCTGGAATTGAACTTCTGCACTGTGAGGTTGACGGGCTAACCACTGGCCCACCGGCCGAATTCTAAGAATAGAATTTATAATTATAATAATAATAACAATCGTGCTTTGACGTTTATCTTGTCTACTTATGGTTAATTTAGGTTAAGGTTTCTAGTTTCTCGCCAATGGTCTTTTTTTGGGGGTGAAGAGAAAAACTCTTTCCTGGCTGACAGTTTCGGCTGATGCTTCAGCCTTCATCAGAGCTGTCAATACTTCATGGTGACATGTCTTAAACACAGATGACCGGGTCGGGAAATCTTCAAAATGAGGCCAACCGACCCGGTCAAGGCTGCGCTTCGACATTATCACCAGGAAGTATTGACACCTCCAATGAAAGCTGAAGCAACAGCCGAAACTGCCAGCCAGGTCAGAGTTTTCCTCAGCTGTCAATTTTAGTGGCCTTGTTTGTGCTGGTATGTCATTGAGGCTCGGACATTAAAAATGGAGCAAACCGCGGGTCCAAATAAAGAGCAATTAAAGGCGTTATCAACGGCCATAGTTCATTTTTTTTTTATAGATTCGGCCCAAGATATTTGAAAAACAGTATGCCCGTTCCAATACAGCTTGAAAATAAGTGTTATTTGACACCCATGAGGAAGAAAAGCATTCAGTGCTTTTCAGAATAAAACTGCTGCTATGTTAGCATTTATGCTAATCGATTTGATATGTCATCCATGCGGGAGCGAGCCAATAGAAACTGTTTGGAAAACAGCAGTCACTTTTGAATACGGTGCACCGGTAATTTGTGTTTTAATACGCACTTATCCTTTTTGGTATTGATGCGGGTTTTTTTTTTTTTTTTTTTAATTTAAATTAAGACAGAGGAGAGACAGGCCTGTGGTTTGTGAAATTCTTTTAAAGTTTCCATTTTGGTGGGGGGAGTTGGCCAGTAGTGAATGATAAGATGAAGATGGGAGTAAGCAGTTTGGAGATTGCGAGAATGACTCTTTTCAGCATTTTTATATCTAGCTGTTTCCCTCCATCATCTTGGTCTTTTTTTTCATCCCATAGCAAACGTAAAAGCATAATGTTGAGTTGCACGTATGTTCGAACCCCGCAGGCAAATGTTGTACGTACATGTCACATGTGTGCTCTCAGTGCACCTTGTTATTTCCCAGCAGGATTTTTCGAGTCATTACTCATGCGAGCTTGTGATGTGTAAAGTAAATGTGTGTGTCCGTTTCCATACTAATTTTAGAAACTTTACATAAGATTGAGATGGATGGTGGGAATTCGATAATAAGTTTTCCCTCCAACCATTTGTATGTGAGCGTGTGTGCATGTGTGTGTGCATCTGTGTGTGCGTGTGTGCGCGTTGCACTCTCTCAGATGTATTATATTTGTATTAGCTTTTCCAATATCCATGTATACTCAAGCTTGTGCCCTGAGGTTTTCATGGCAAATCATCAAACCAAATTCCCGATGATGATATATGATCATTATATTCAGCACCGTGTTACATAAAACTCTCCTGGACAATGTTATTATTTTTTAAAAATACATTTAGCTCTTGTGGTGACTTAATGGTAGAGTGAGGTGACCAAATGAATAACTCTACATTTGTTAATGCATTGATTTTTATGAATAAGATGTAGATAAAGCCGTATGCAGTTTTTTTTTTTTTTTTAATGGCAAATCATCATTGATCAGCTAATTCAAACACCATACACCGCCCACATTAGCTGGCTTAAGCAAAAAAGCTTCACAATTCAGCATCATCCATCTGTCTAGGTTTCGGATATCCAATTGGATTTTTGGCAAATTCCCGAATGGGATTTTCTGAGAGTATGTGTCCTGAAATTCACCACAAAAGGCTGCTTCATACCAAAACGTCTGATTTCTATGTTTAATTTGGGCTATGGATCCTTTTTTTGTCCACTGAATTTTATGTAGCTTGGTGAAATTGGTATGGGGGGGGGGGGCTTATTGTTTCCAAGGGCTGTTAGCCATCAAGTTAGAAATGACTGCTTCAAACCAAAATGGCCAACTTCCTGTTCAGTTTTAGGCAAGGGCCATTTTTCGTGTATCCTGTTCGGATACACTTGGAGTTTAATATTGATTTATAAATTTGGTGTCGAGGAGGTTTTTTTTTTTGTTTTTACATTCCAAGACATGCTCATGAATACATTTAAAATAAACAGGAATGCACATAAGAGGTGTGTGGGTGCCCCTGAGCACTGGAAATTGAGTATTGCACTCAGTTTCAAGTCAGTCATTACTCTTTTGCGTACTCGCCTCAGTTTGAAGTCAATTTAGCCATCACAACGATTGCTTCGGACGGCCAACATCAAAATAAAAGCAAAGTCAGGCATTTGATATGCAGGTACAGTAGTACTTGTTTCATTATTATTTTGAAGTTGACCCTTGCGGTGCATTGCACAGCAGCCTGTAAACAGCGGTTGTGGCGGGAGGCTTGACGAGGGTCGCTCCCGCTAACGCTAAATTCGGCATGAGACGGTGGCCGAATATATGCAGGAAAACTGCTGGTGAGACAGTTACCTCTGTGTGGCTGTGCTGCGGCTTTGACGGTCTGTCAACATATGGCCTTGTACGAAGGTGGCCCATGGTGCAAAAAAAAAAATGGATTGCGCAAGGCTTCCTTAGAGACGTGTGCTAAGTAAGCTAGTCGACCACAGGGCCCCAAGCTGCAAACATAAGTGGGCTCTGAATTGAAATTACAATTAATATCTGTGTTTCCCAATTTTATGCCTGTTCATGGGCGTCATTTGGCCTATTTTAGGGAGGCTTCAGCCTCCCTAAAAATGTCTTTAGCCCCCCTAAATAATTTCATTGCATTATTTTAAAAAAAAGTATTATTTATTTTTCCTGT